TTAGATTTCTCAGTAAGTTAAACCAGGTAAATAAATGGTCTTACCGCAATGAGATAGAGGTAATCCTTCTTTCCAGTAAGCAAATTGTGTAGGAATGTTAAAAGCAAAGCAGTTGACTTTCCAAATATTTCATCATATATTTATTTCTACCAGTTTGACTTTTCCCCTGATAAACTACGAAATCTACTAGGTAACCATAGTCAGTGTTGAGACACCATATTTTGTAGCCGAACCTTTTTAATATTTCACCATAGCCTCATCATAATCTAAGTTTCCAGAAGTGTAAAATATTCAGCAAACTTTTTTTCTTTTTAGATGCACCATCAGTAGTCGCAGCAAATACATTTCATCTTCTCTATCAATTGCGTTGTTTGCTACATGCAAAAACCTTGATATTTGCAGAAATCCGTCCCGCCTCGTACACTTCAAAACCATCACGTTTTTCATGTGTTACGAGTGTCCCAAAAGTTTTGGGCTGGAAGAGAATTGTACCCAGAGTAGAAGAATTCCGAAAAATCCTTTCATTTCACCCAAGGTGACATATATATACACACTTTTGAAAGAGCGAAGCGACTAGTTTTTTTAATTATTTGACTAAAAATATCTTGCACAAACAACTCAAAACATTCAACAGAAGTTGTTTTCATATTTTTTAAACATTTCTTTTTCATCACCAAACATTTTACAAGAAATATTGTATTCAAAATCCCCTTTGGTACACTCATTTTCTTGTGATTTGGAATATGTTGAAAAATAAAAAGGTTTTGAAATTGTTCGTCCGGAAGACAACACAACGTCTGCTTCGCTAAGCAACTGTTTTCTTCTAAGATTGTCCATTTTACCACCTTCCGACTTTACCCGCACTGTCGCCTTCAGTCATTTCGGCTGCTTCATGAGGAGCATTTTCTTCTTCACACTGCCGTGGGTCCCACAATTGCAACACGCCTTCGAGAGTAAGGCCATTTTCAAAACGTACATCACTCCTGCAAATTATTTTAAAATAAACTTTTATACTTATAACTAATTTTTTAAAAGATGAGTACAATATTGCTAAGTAAAAATAGTTACGTTACTATAAAAAGAAGTGTAAAAGACTAGCGTAACATATACATCACGAACTTAAACATAGGTCTTGAAATTAAAGAAAAATATTTTTAATACTATCGTAATACACTGAAAATTAACTATTTTAAAACATCACAAAAAATTGAATATTTGTACTTAACACATTTCAGGGTGCAATGCACAACTGAGTCAATTTTCAAATGAGGCGGGTGGAGACAAAACTCATGAACGATACACAACAGACGAACTGATTTTCGGAAAGTCACTGAGGTGAGGACCGACAAAACTTTGTAAATGGGTCAATCCATTTTAAGTGGTCCAGAATTTAATAAATCGGTCGCTCGACCATCTCCAAAAAATTAATATTTTGTACATAGTTTTCGCTGTACAAAAACATCTTTAATTTTTTATTGTTCCTGGTTTACAAGTGGCGGCCATTTTTGTTTTATGCCATGCGCCATTTTTGCATAGACGTTTACTCTTTTCTAAATTAATCATCTCAAGGTTGTTCTATCATTTTAGAATAAAACGCATTGGATTCAGTATACCCTGGCCTTCAAACCAAAATATTATTTACGTACCCTCGTATGACTTGATTTGGGAAATATTTGCAACCAGATCTACGGATCGCGAACAAACGAAAGAAATTCTATTTTCAGAGCGTAATTTCACAAAGACAGAATAGAATCAGATGATTGGGAGAGCATTAGCAGAAACTGCGACGAGACGTTTTATGTATCGCCTTCTGTGTTCTCATCTGACGAGAGAGAAAAGTTACACATAATTGACAAATATTATTACTTTGCTGTAAGAATCAATGAGTATTGAAAAGATTGTCATAGTTACCTCTGTCTGGACGAAAGTAAACGTTCTCCTTACGAATTTCACGTCATTCATGCTTTCTGCTCAGAGCGCTGATTCAAAGAAACTACACGATAATTGCTTGCTGCCAACGTATCACCAACGTTTAATGCGCCCAATACGCGTATTACGTACTTCTCGGCACGATTGCTACGACACTGGTTGCGTCTCCTCTGATTTTCAAACAATGTGAGCTCGTCGCGCGTGGTGTGGAAAAAATTGGATTCCGGGAAATCTGACAATGAGTAAATCATTCGTCGCGGCCGCCCAGGAGGTGGTGCAACCTATTGGTGATTTTTCGAAGTAGCTGAAAGTCGATTTCAAAGAGCTTTGTATAAAAATGAACTTTTTGTCAATTGTGAAAGAATTCGCTCGGTTTTTGGTCGAATTTATACTATCTCGAAACATAGAGTGTGAAATGTATGTTCTTTACTTCTTAAATTGCTTCAAAGAGTAGCGAAACTGAGATATTCGAAGCGTGGCGCCAAATTTGAACTAATTGGCGGCTCGTACCAACAAGATCAGATTGTTTGCCTTTTTAGAAAGAGAAGATGGTACGATAACGCGTTCGTAGAACGCATTCCCGGTAATCCTGTGGGCGGTGGTTCGAATCTCAGCATAAGGTATTTTTATACTTTAGTGTTTTGCTTAACTTGAAAAAAGTGTGTTTATTATCTTGAAATGAAATTGAAGGGTATTTACTGTTTATCTATTTGTTATGAAGGTCATTTAAATTTGAAACGTAACTTCAATTATTTGTCTCGCGTATTTACGTGATCAGCGCGGCAGCGCTGGAAATATATGGTGGGAAAATAAAGAGGAGATAGTCATGCGCACAGCCCTCATACTGATGTCTACCATTTCAGTATCATTAGAATATAATTAGGATGAACAGGAAAGTATCAGTGTTTTTGCGCATTGCGTATTTATACATTTTTCGCCAACAAAAGGTGTGAAATTGAATGAAATTTTGAAGACAGAGCACATTCGGTCAGGCTTCTCTGAGTAAACACTAAGTAATTGAGACCAGAAGTGTCAAAATCGTCGGACTAAAGGGCAAAGTGAATGCCATAAATGACGTCCTGTGAGCAGCGTCAATGACGGCAATATTCAAGCAGTACGTGAGCTCGAGGAAGGCGATCGCCGCCATGGTATTACCCATGATGCATGAAAGGTGGGTGTAAGTTCGGAAGTGTCAATACCATTGGCGACTTCTGACGGCTGGCGGGTGATAGATCCAATGGCGACTACCGATTCACGAAACCTTCCTGCGTAACATCACATGACCGCATACACTGGCTCTGACTCGTGAAAAATTCAGGAAATTGCTCCAGGGTACTCACTTTACTGTTCGGACTTCTTCCCTTTTTACTACCATAAGTTTGCTCCACTAAAGGAGGCATTAGGCGGAGGAAGATTTGAAGACGACGCTTCTTTCAAACTACGTGCACAATTTGCTACTGCGGCAGTCGTCTTCTTTTTTACTTTATCGCACTTACTAACGTAAGAAGAGAAAGTATTGTAATCGTGTACCGGAAAACAGCGAATTTTCGACCCCAAAACTCTTATTGCCGGGTCCTGGCAAAGAAAAAGTGGATAAATCCAGTTGCAAAATATAGAAAACAATTCCTGTAACACGTGGTGAAGCCGAAATCCTTGTTTTTGTGGGTCCTTCATACCGAAAAATCGATTGACGAAAAATGCCTTTCCGTCCGTCTGTGCACAACGCTAGCACATAAATCGTTCAGCCAATTTTCTTCACAATTTATATAGTGAAAAGGACGTTTAAGAGAATTGCACAGGTCTCATTTTCGTTGACTTCCCCTATTTTTGGGAAATTTCGAAACTTACAAAAAAATTCTCAAAAACCTCTCCAATTTTTTCTTTAAAATTTCTCCACATATGTAATGAGAGATGGTAAAAAATTATGCAAATCCCATTTTCTGGTATTTATCGTTCTTTTTCCAAAATTGCAAAAAAAATTTCTTATCTACAACATTGAAAATAGAGATTTTTCTTCAAAGTATGTTGTACAAAATTGGCTCTTTAAAAAAGTCCACGTTTTTGAAAAAAACGAGTGGTTGAAATTAATGAAATATATATATTTCACACCATCTACGGGCCACGAGTAAAATTAAATGAATGATATGAAAATACTTAATTTAATTTTAAATATAATACCCTATGAAAAATACCAATATTAATTCTATTTTTGATTTCTAGCATGTTCACTTAATTCTACGATTTGTATTCTCAATGTATTGATGTACATAAAGTTGATTGTCTGCCGACGGTATAATGGCTTTCATTGTTCATTCATAGCGGAGGCAAATAATTCTTAATGCTAAATGCACCGAAAAATACTTGTAGGATAATTCAGTAGATCGCATCACTATCACAGGGAAATTTACTTTATCGATAGAGTCTGAACCAATGCTCCGATTTTCGATCTGTAAACGGCATTTGACACCTTTTTAAAATAGAATTTTCGCTATGAAGCCCTTTTTTGTCAAGAATCTAGCAAAAACTCGAATATGAAACTGGATCTCAAACTTCCGACAAAAAATTAAAAAATATGGGCTTATAACACGATGGCGACGTGCTTCCTGAATCCAAAGCCGTGACAATCATGCAAATCGGATGAATAGGAGCGTCGTTAAGTGAAATTTGGGAAGACACCTCGCCCCCTCCCCCTTCCATGCCGTTGCGTCACCCGCCCGCCCGTTGTGGGTTGCGCGGGACTTGCGGGACAGGCAAGCCAGACAGTCGGTAGTATACTTTCAGAATACATTCAGAATACTTTCAGAAGACAGAAAGTATACGTTCGTCATTTTGCGTCTCAATCAATTTTCCCACAGATATCAAACTAGAGATGCTATACTAATATTACAGACTGAGACAAACGGTCAGTAATAGTAGTACATAACTCTCTTTTCCATATATTTAACAGATTTTAATAGTGAATTACTAAATCATAACAAACTCGAGATATTAATTCCGCAACATTTATAGTGTGATATTTGGAAACATTATCGATTTTGTTTTAGGTATGGTCAGGCGTATTATTTCAAAAAATGAAAGAGGCTGGTGAAGAAGAGAAAAATCTAACCATTGAGAACGGAAATGTAACAGAAGATGGTACACCTTTCATCACTGTTATTGAGGACGGAGGTTGGCCATTACTTCGCAGCCATGGACATTGTTACAGAGAAGTATCTTGAGTAATTGGGATGAGAACCCAAAAAACATTGGATCTAGGAATTAGGAACAAGTACTGCAGCATGTGTGAGTACCAAGAGGCGCAACAATTAGACCATACACATGAAAAATTTTATAAAAATTGGGAAGGAGCATCAGCTTCGATGGAAAAAGATATGCTGGTAGAATGCTTCAAAAGTAAACGTAATTTTCCGCGGCTCGAATCCATAAATTCTCGGCTATCCGGGAGACGCCGTGTCGTTGGTCACTGCCCTGAGGAAGCCAGCGACATGTCAGGCGAAACGTCGGCGCCCCAGCCAACGACGCGGCGTCTCCCGGATAGCCGAGAATTTAAGAATGCTTCAAGCCGCAGCAAGCAATTTCATGGACTAGAGTACCACACAGTTGTGGGAGATCCAGCGTCTTTTATAACCTGAAAACGTCTGTTACGTACGGTCGATCAATACAAAAAGTGGAGTGTGCAAATCATGTGGTGAAGAATTATACCAAAAGATTGTATGCACTTCAAAAAGGATCGACTACTGGAACTAAAAAATTGTCGAATGAAATCATCAGGCGACTCAAGGCTCGAGGTGCAATAGCACACAACGCGGAGGAAGGAGATGTAAATTCCTTGAAGGAGGATCTCAAAAATGGAACGCTACATGTTTTTGGAATTCATACATTCTGCAAGCCATATTTTTGCACCAAAATAGGTGAGTCAATCGACCTGCCCAAAGAAGAAAAGGAAATTTGCGACAAAGCACGATTTCTATTGCAGCCTCTTGTATTGAAAAGTCATCAACTTATCACCAACAGCACTTGCAACGCTGCAGAAAATTACATGTCTTTAGTGGCAAACTTTACTGGAGGCAAACAAATTAACAGAGGCAAAAGAGGCTCTTTTACCCACAGAACAAAAGCTGCCAGTTTAGACTTTCAGTTCAAATCGTACTGGCACTAGGAGACGAATGAAATCTATGTCGAATGAAAGTCCTGCTTCTATTGTAAAGCAAACAGGCGAGGAGGAGAAACAAAGAGCGTTTCTTCGAGGCACGGCAAGAGGGAAAGAATGGTAGGAAAGTAAGATCTGGAGCAGCGTATCATAAAGATAGCCAGAAAGGTTAGCTGACTACCGTGTATGTGCTATGCAGGTGCACATGGAGAATAGCGAACTAATAACAATGAAAGAGAAGATCTTGCAACTTGTCATTTAATAAAGAGGAAATAGTTGAGCTTGAAATAGCAAGAAGAGGGCAGCCAGAATCTGAGAGGTGGCACATGGAAAGAAAAGACAGGCTTGCCTCGTCCAGTTTCGGATATGTTTGTAAGAAGCAGTCTAATAAGTGGGCTCCTGTCGTCAAAAACCGCTGTATGATGACTTCTGGTCACGTGCCATGATGTACGGAAGCGAGAATGAATCACGCGCTATTTATTGTTTTCAAGAAAGAAAAAAAAACAGGTCTACTTGTTGAAAAATGCGGTCTCTTTGTACACCCAATTCATGGTTTTCGTGGAGCTTTCCCTGACGGTTTGGTCGGAGAAGATTCAATATTAGAAATAAAATGTCCCAAATCTGCGAAAAACATGTCAATACAAGAGGCATGCAATAACATAAAACATTTCTGCATTGACAAAAAGTCATTGAAATTGAAAAAATGAAGTGATTATTATTATCAAATTGAGGGCCAGCTTCAACTCGCAGGGAACAGTAGTTGCCATTTCGTTGTATTGACCCCAAAGGACATGCATCACGAAATTATTTACAGCGATGATGCTTTCTGGGGGGGGGATAATACAGAAACTTGTGTTCTGCTACAAAGAAGTGCTTCTACCTAAAATTTTGGATTCTCGAATGACGAGATCTATGAGCATAAAGCAGCCATATATTTAAAAATGCATTAAATTTTACTATTGCACTCGGAAAGATCTGATAAGACTTTCAGTTTCGCCAGCTTAATTAGGAAGGTTGGTTAATCCTAGGAACCTGCTAGTGTTTTTGTTCACCTGAAGTGTATATGTATATCAACAATAAGTATTTTGGTTCAGAAACAAAAAAGGTCTCTACACTCCAAATTTCGAGACAATGAACCCCAGTAGCGTTTTAACTTGTTCTTATGAACCTATTTTAAAGTATAAATACTGTTGATACTTACTAATTAAAAGGTTGAATGCTGCCGTCATTTGTTCATTATGACGTTTTGTTCAGCGAGTTGCAATCGATCTATCGAAAGCAGTCGTCGTTTCAGCCAGCTCGTGCTAGCATGTGATTACAGTTAGTAAAGCGAGAATAGTGAGTTTTTAAGTTCCGAAACGAAAGTGTTAACATATTACCGAGTGAATATGAATGCAATGACCAGTAATTGTTTGCCACATGATACCCTTTAAAAAATCTTTTCGGTAATGTATATTACAAATTTTCACAGCGCATAGAAATCGAAAGAAAACTATGCAGCCTCGGGCCCTTTGAGAGGTGACAGTGGTTAGATAACCATTGACTCGAAACAAAAAACAATTATCTATTTCGATTTTAACTGAAAAAGCAAGTATATTGCACATTCCCGTTATAATATTGACAGTGCAGGCTGACAACACAGCAGACGTCCTTCGACAACACGGCTCCAAGGAAGATGCAACACTATCCATTCTGTGTCACATTATGGAAGAGCATTTTATTTTTATATTCTTCCTAGTAAATAACAGTTCAACTATATGTACGTACTATACTTTATTGTAGTATTTGTCAAGACTGTTTTCATTAAAATAATAAATTTATATTAGTGTTAAACATGAGTATTTTATTTGTTCTTGAGTAGTGTGGGTTGTAATTTTTGGAAAAACTTTTGTATGGTTTCGCTCAGTAACATTCTTGTTGCTGCAGGCAACTCGTTATACTTATACGTTATACATGGTGCTTTGTGTTGGTACATAGTAGGATTTTCTTCCAGAGTTTACTAGAACATGCAGAGATCTTGGCAAATATAAAACTATGCAATTACATTATTAGAAATGTATGCACCTCTGTGTTCACAATTAATGATTTATTGTTCCACGCGTCACTTGAAAACGTATATATTGGGATTCCATGGACACCACACTTCGGCCTTCTTGGAGTAATTTCACCTAATATGGCATCTCTGCACTACACTTAATATATCCAGTTTTTCCGTTTCGTCAGAACGAACTATTTCGAGTAAATTATTCAATTAGAAATTACGAAATAATAGAAGCCAGTGACATTCGTTATGTTGTATACGTTTTCGCTTTTCGAGTATTTAATTATTTTTGCATTTAAAGAATGTAATGTTGCAGAACCAAGAAATTATTTGTCAGATACTACGGTTTTATCTATAATAAATTGATTAACATTAACATTGTATTTAAAAATTGTTTGATGCGATGAGAAAATAAAATAAGGTAATGAATTCGTTGTTTCGAATGCATTCATAATGGAATATATTGGATGGCATTTATTTATGGATGTTCCTTTTATTTGTGAAATTATCCTTGCTCTTCTGTACGAACATAAAAATGTTTATAATATTTTTTGTTCGTTTACTATTTATTTTTTTGTTTTCAAAAAACTAATGTTCGAACTTGGCAGCAAAGAGCGGGCTTTCTGCTTTACTGCTTTCCGGACCATTTATAACTGTTTAATTTCGTAATGTAGTATGAAGCGACTAATTGTAGTTTTGTTTCATTGTAAGTATTCATTGAAAATAAAATAATACATTTAAAAATGAACTTAAAATATCTTGGAGACATGGTGAAAAATAATTGTATGTATTCGATACAAGGAATAGTGTTCCATAAACAATGCCGTAGAAGAACATTCATAAAACCACGTCAATGCAAACTGAAAAACAGTTCTATTTATGGTAAAAATGGCGCTCTTAGCAAGAATTGATAAGAAAGTGTGTGCTCATTGTTGGCAGCGGCCATCGCTGCGTGTCTGAGATGTGTTGATATAGACCGAAATGCAGTATAATAATATTACATAACAGCTACTAAGGGGCGAGAAAGTATGTAGTGATTTATCACCACTAGTTTCAGGAAGGAATCCGAAAGTTTTCAGTGCGTGGGAGAAAAATTATTTCTTTTGAAGGAAACGATGCTCGTTGCGTGTATTTTGCAAATGTACATTCCCGCCTGAGATATGGTATAAAATTCTGGGGAAATTCATCATGTAGTACTCAGACCTTTAGATTGCAAAAGGAAATTATTCGAATAATGAAAAAAATGCCATCCGCGTTGCCCTTGCAAGCCTCTCTTAATTGAGCTTGGAATCTTACTAATGTCACTACCTTGCCTATATATTTACGAATCTGTAATATTTTTCAAAAGTGACTTTCGTAACGGTGGGAAATATTTTCATGCAATACTGATATTTATAATTACAGCACACGTCGTAAAAATCTCGTTTATCAAGTGTCAGTATCAACAGCTCACTATCAGAAATCCACATACAATACATGTACGTTACTTT